GTCGTGCATGCCGTAGTCGTTAGACCATTGACCTCGCATCCCTACAAAGCCGGGACGGAGCACGCCGGGTTCTCAACGGACCAGGCTCTCACATCACCAAGCGCCAAACGCCGTGAGGAACTCGGCGAGTCGCATGAAGGGTGCGTGCATCCTGCTATGGGTGTTCGGCATCCTGTGCTTACTTCTTTGCGTACGGATGACAGCTGCGTATGGCTTTATTTATTTCCTGGTGCTTCCACTTCCAGCACTTCCAGAGACAGTTGTTCGCAGTGTGTAACTGCCTCGAGGGTGCCTGACCATTTTAATACAACGTGGTGCGATCATCCCCCTTGCGCGGAGTGAGGGTTCTCCACCCCGCACAACACGATCTACTCGACCGCCATTGTGGTTACCGCCAAAAAGAAAAACAGAGGTTAAAAAAAAAACGGTAACGTGGTTGCCGAGTTCACGAAGTGAATTGGCTTGTTTTACAACGTCGTTGCCAAGCAACGAAAACCCAATCCCGATGGCAAACACCGCGCGGGGGGGGGGGGGGGTACTCATAGTCCTGCATGCCGTAGTCGTTAGACCATTGACCTCGCATCCCTACAAAGCCGGGACGGAGCACGCCGGGTTCTCACCGGACCAGGCTCTCACATCACCAAGCGCGAAGCGCCGTGAGATATTCGGCGAGTCGCATGAAGGGGGCGCTGCATCCTGCTAAGGGTGTTCGGCATCTTGGGCTTACTTCCTTGCGTCCGGATGACAGCTGCGTATGACTTGATGTATTTTCCGGTGCTTTCACTTCCAGGGACTGTTGTAAGCACTGTGTAACTGCGTCGAGGATGTTCTACCATTCTGACGCAAAGTGGTGCGATCATCATCCTTGCGCGGAGTGAGGGTTCTCGATCCACACAACATGATCTACTCGACCACCATTCGTGGGTACCGCAAACAAAAAACAGAGGAAAACAAAAACAAACGGTAACCTGGTTGCCGAGTTCACGAAGTGAATTGGCTTGTTTCACAACGTCGTTGCCAAGCGACGAAACCCAATCCCGATGGCAAACACCGGGGCGGGGACAGGGTAAAATAGTAGTATGACAATGTGACAACGCCTCTTTTTTCCGGGGCTTGTTGCAACGCAATACTCAAGAAATAGATACTGCAATAGTCAGTCGCGCATCACTCGTTTGGGAGCGTATTTCGCAGCTAGCGTGTCGGCACACAAGAAAGTCACCCCGAAAAGGATGGGCAATTGTATTGTTGCTGTACAGCAGCAAGCTTCACCTGTGTTCATGAATGTACCTTCTCCGTGAAGTTGGCGTTAATTGTACCCTGCTCCGCGGCTGTTTTTCTCTCTTGCCCAGTGTAATGTTTCCCTATCGGAAGTGGCGTAATAGGTGCAGCAGGCGCAAGACTTCGATCGATCTCGAGATTGGGATCCTTTGAAGTGCACGGGTGAAATAGATCAAAGACACTGACACATCCCCTTCCAGCACTGTGGTTCTATCTCGATTGTGCAGATAATCTTTCTGTGATTGTGTGTATATTTTCCTACGAAGGCAAGCAAGAAATTTTCTCCGCCCCGTCCCGCTCACCCCCCGTTTTTTTGTGTCCTTTTTGGCGGCGCTCTTCCCCGTTATCACACACGTACGGGCCAAGCATAGGTGGAATATGTCCAGGAAGGCAAACCAGACGGTCTGCTGCAGGCAATGCGCGGGGGAAGGGATAGAAGAGTGCAGGTTCTGCGCCGGCACCGGCATGTTCAAGGTGCTGAAGGACGTGTTGCTGGTACTGCTTAGAGGTTTCCTTGTTTGTGTTATGTAGTTCCCTGTCTGCTACACTTCAACATGCAGCTACTGTCGACTTGGGGGTGTCGCGAAGTGTAATCCATTAGTCTTTTCCCCCCTCCCCGTTCGCCCCCCCCCGGTGTTTGCCATCGGGGTTGGGTTTTCGTCGCTTGGCAACGACGGTTTAGAACAAGCC